GGTGCCTGGGGTGCCTGAGACATGAGCCATCACCAGGACAACGGGGCTGGCTCCAATGCTGGCTTGTGTCCCTACAGTGCCCCTTCCCGGGTGCCTTGCCTCCCTGGGGGCCCTGCCCTGCAGGGGGGAGGGTGGCAGGGCATGACAGGACTCTGCAGTACTGGGAGAAGGCATCTGGACTCCCACTTCCACAGTGGATTATTCAACCTTGCTCGTCCCGGTGGCTGTGCTGGAACACTGGCCTGGCCACTGGTCAGACCCCTGATTTGGAATGTTCTGGTGACAGCACCACAGGTTGTGGGAATACACTCACTCTTAACATATGTTCCTCTGGTGCTTAGTATGTGCCTGGCCAGGGCCTGGCTCTGGGGCAGACCATCCCGTACCCAAGGAGCCTACCACCTGGAGGAGGGAACACGGAGGTCTAGACGCAGGTCTGCGGAGTTTCCTGGGGGAAACTGAGGCTCAGGAGGGGAGGGGATTTAGCGAAGATCTCGCTGCCCATGCCAGACCCCAGGTTTACCCCTGCCTCCACATCAGCAGCCATGAACCAGCCCCTTACAACTGGGCGCCCACCCAGGTCTGTCCCCCTGGGGGTGCTCTCTCTCCTGCTCCCACCCACTCCCCCGGCCCTGCCCCAGCCTGAGTACTAGCCCCTTGGAGTGTGGGGCAGCAGCTGGGCCCCGGGGTGTTAAAGAGAGCTTCCAGGGCCCTCCCTCCCTCCTCCCTGCCCCACTAAGGTAACTGTAGCTTAAAAATAACCCACTCACCTGCACTTCCCAGAACTCTTTCTCAGATCCCCTCCGCCTCTGCAGGCAGCACAGATCGCACTAGAGAAAGGGGAAATGGAGTGCCCAGGCCCAAGATCACCGTTAAGGGCAGAGCCCCTAGAGTTCAGGGCTCTGTGCCTTCTGGACAACACCTTAGCTTTAGGGCATCGAAATGCAGTCTCAGGCTCTGTAGCAGGTAGGGTTGGGGGCACCTGCCCTTAGAGTCTGCTCCTAGACTCCCTGCCCTCCAAGGGCTCAGTTCTTCTGCTAGGAGGGTGGGGAAGCAGGAAAGCAGCAGCCTCGGCCCTGGGCCCCAGAATCTGTCATGAGTCTGGGAGGGGGGCCATGGTGACAGTGGGTCCCACTGGTTATAGACCCTAGGGGCAAATGGCCTCCAGCAGGACTCCTCTAGCTAGGGCTAAATCAATGTCTTTTCGGCTCAGGGAAGCATTTTCTGGGCAGGTGCCATTATCAAACATCTACATGGGGAGCCTGAGCTGGGTAGGCTGTGGGGGTGTCAGACCAGAAGAGAACTAGCGCCTTCCTCATGTGAACACTTCTGCACACATTACCTTCACAAGACCGTGCTGGCTCCTACAGCACCCGTGTGCTAGTTGGGAAAAGACACCTCTCCTCCAGGCACATGCAGCCCTGTGTGGCAGAGGGGAAGTGACCACTCAGCTGGGTACCTTTGTGCAGTGAGCAACCTGAACAACTATACTCAGTAAACCTGGCAGCCCCGGCTCCCGACAAACCTGCTTGGAAGGGGGCTAGGGGAAGGCAAACCATGTATCTGATGGCACTCAGCCTGCAGGGACTGAAGCTGGTATGGCACCCAGAGATGTCCATTGGCCTGGGTCAGCCCCGGGGACAGGAGTGGGGGCCAAGCAAAAAAGTGGAAGGACAGGAGCCCCTGGCTGGCTCAACTGGAAGAGCATGCAACTCTTGATCTTGGGGTCGTTGAGCCTGAGTCCCATGTTGGGCGTAGAGATTACTTAAAAATAAATAAATACACGTTTTTAAAAAGCAGAAGGGCAGATGGATCCCCACCTTGGTCGTGGGGAGGGCCCATGGTCTCCATCTTGCGCTGCCACCCACCCCTGAGGTTCCCCATCCCCACGCTGTCCAGAAACCAGACTCGGACTCCCTGCAAAGTCCCTGCATAGGAATTGTCCTCTCGCTCTCTGAGCTTATTTTCTCCTATAGATAATGCGATAAAAGTTCCCACCCCAGCCCCAAGATTGCTCTATCAGTCACAGTATTAGGAGGATGACTGTTCAGTTGATCTGGACTACAGCTGACACGCTGCCTCTCCTCACCCCACCACTAGCTGGCTGGAGACAGAGCAGAAGCGTTCTGCCAGACCGCTTGCCCCAAGTCCCAGACCTTGCCTTTCCTCCTTGCAAGCACAAGGCAAACGCCACAAGAGCTGGTGCCTGGCCAAGGCCCTCTGGGAGTGGGCACAGAACCACACTGCTCTCCATGCATGTGTGCACACGCTCCAGCAGATGGAAGACCCCCGCTCTGCCTCTCACCAGCAGTGTGCTCAAGACCTGAGACGAGATCAAGAGCCGGACACCCGGGGCGCCTGGCTGGCTCAGTCGGTTGAATGTCTGACCCTTGACTTTAGCTCAGGTCCTGATCTCAGGGGCATGCAATCGAGCCCTGCATCTGGTTCCTGCTCAGCAGAGAGTCAGCTTAAGATTCTCTCTCTCCCTCCCGGTGCTTGTGCACACTCTCTCTCTCTCAAATAAAGTAAAAAAAAAAAAAAAAAAAATTATTTGAGAGATAGAGACGCGGTGAGAGAGGGAACACAGGCAGAGAGAGAACGCCGAGCGGGGAGCCCGATGCAGGGCTTGATCCCAGGACCCTGGGTTCATGACCTGAGCCAAAGGCAGACGCCTAACAACTGGGCCACCCAAGTGCCCCTAAATAAAATCTTAAAAACAAACAAACAAACAAGAGTCAGACTCTTAACCCACTGAGCCACCCAGGTGCCCCCAGAAATGGAATCTTAAACCAGGATCAAGACTCACCTATAAGCACTAGTTAGGTCGTCTGATAGACCTCTGCCATCCCCTAAAGGAAAGTAACTTTGCAAAACCCAACCCGCTGTTTTGCCCAGTACAACTTCCTTGTCTTTGCTCCCTTCTGCCTATAAGTCTTTCATTCTGCACAGCTCCTATGATTTGTTGAATAAAGCCAACCAAATCTTTACAAATCTACTCAGTTGAATTTCAGTTTTTTAACCCTTGTTAAGTGCCAAAAGCTCATGCTCCTTGATGACATCCGCGCCCCACCCCTGTCCCCACCAGTGGGGTTGCCGTGGCGCTCAGGCTACCCCTGCAGCAAGAGAATGGACTTCTCTAGTGGCCACACCTAATTCCAGGGAGGGCGCCGAGCAGCCAGCCCTGGAAAGCTGTGTGGGGAATGTGGGCTGGGCTGGACAGACTCTGGATGAATCATTTCTCCCCTTGGAGTCCCTTCGGTGGTAAACAGGGGTGGGTCATCTGTATACCCAAAGCTGTCCCCTCTGCCACTACAGGTGCCACAGGCCCCTCGGTACTCTCCCCCAAGCCCAGAAGGCGCTCAGGGACAGCCTGGGAGTCTCCAAATCTGAGACAGGCAGGGAGAAGGTGTGGGTTCGAGGCTGTAAGGTGGAGGAATTGTAATAATAGTCCGCATGTGGTGGGTGCACGTAGGACCATGTACTAACCCTCCCCACGGCCCTGTGAGGTGGGAACTAGCCCCATTTTAGGCAGGAGGAAAGTGAAGTTCAGACCAGAAAGGGGATGTGCCCAGGCCCTATGGCTGGAGCTAGGATTGACACCTGCCTACTGTGACACTTAGGAGAGGGTGTGAGTCTCCGAATTTGTGGCCGTGAGCCAGGTCTCTTGAGGTGTTTTCTGTGGGTGCTTGGGTGAATGCACCTGGGTGTAAGGTTGTGTGTCTTGGGGAGACTGGGTGTAATTGCTGGTGTCCAGCAGACGTGGGTGTCCATGGGCAGACAGATCCCGGACACACCCCCTTTCCTGGGCTCACATCTGCTGGAACCCCACAGCTTGGGCACGCCCTTCCCTCTTGGCCCCCTGCAGGGCAGAGGGTGTCCCAGGAAACTGGGACTGCCCTTGTGGGATCCTCTTACTGATTGGTCCCTACTCCGGTGGGGGCCAGGAGAGGTGAGGCAGGAACCCCACAGATGTACAGGGACCCCTGCCCAACCCCGCCTTTTTGGGACAGTCTGCCATAGGACAGAGTGCTCATGGCTGAGGCAGACTGCTGGGGGCTGGGCGTGCTAGGGAGCTCAGGACTCCATCCAAGGGCAGGACTCCAGACTGTGGGCCCCGACGGCCCTCCTGGCCCTCCTGGCCCCCCCTCCCCGAAAGGCCAAGGGCAGCCCTGCCACTGGTCTCTGCCCTCTCCGGCTCTCTCTCTCCCCTCCTCCTCTCTCCCTCTCTCTTTCTTCCATCCCCCGTGCATTCGGCACTGTCTCTCCCTCTGTCTCTCTCTCTCTCTCTCTGTCCCTGTCCGGGCTCTGTCTTCCCCTCACCACAGCCCTGTGGCTGTGACCCGCTGTTCCACTTGGTCGGCCCTCTCTCCCTGGACGCTCCCTGGAGCCCAGGTGTCGGGCTGGGGGGCGGGTGTCCTGACGCGGGCGGCGGGGCGGCGGGGCGGCCGGGGGGGGGGGGGGGTGCCGGCCGGGGCCCCGCGCCGCCCCCGCCCCGCACTGGGCATGCCCCGGTCGCTTCTATATAAAGCGGAGCCGCCCGCTCCCGCTGTGCCGCCGCCGCTGCCGCCGAGCCCCCGCCGCTCCGCGCCGCCCGCCTGCCCCGCCGAGCCGCTGCAGCCCTCGAGGTACCCCGGCTCCTGCCCGCGCCCCGGGGAGAGCCAAGGAGGGGGGCTGCGGGGCCAGGGGTCGCGGGGACCCAGCGCGCCCCCCGCTGGAAGGGCGGGGTGCTAGGACCCCAGCGCTGCCCGGCACAACCCTCAAGGCGTGAGCTGGGGGCCTGGGGGGGGGGTGTCAGGACCCCTGGGGCCCCGGGGGCAGAAATCCCACCGCCTCCTTGGGTGGGGGTGGGGCAGCCGTGGACACCTGTCAGGGACGGGACACAGGCACCTTTGGGGGCCATCTCTCCGCCCTCGAGTCTGAGGGGCTGGGCAGTGGGGTACAGACCCGGCTGCCCTGACTCCCTCCTTTGTCTCTTTCCCTCTGTCTCTGCCATCAGTCTCTCAGCCACTGCACCTGTAAGATGGTGAGTCTCCTCTGCTCCTTCCCCCAAAAGGCCCAAGCCCCTGGCCAGAGGGAGGGCCCAGAGGGCAGGGCTTGGCACCCAAAAGCCTCACCCTGGGGGCTCCCCTGGGCAGACAGCTCAGACCTATAACCAGCAGCCCATGCTGTGGTTGACTCTCCACTCCAGGTGACATGGGACAAGCAGCTGCTGTGCGCCAGGCACTTCCCCCTCTCCCCCACCAGCCCCGGGGATGGGCACTGTTGGTCCCCTTTGGCATTCATTCATTCTGCGACATTCACTGAGCCCCTACTATGCATCTGACACCATTCCAGGTTTGGGGACATAGCAGTGCATGAACAGTCTGGGCTCTCAGGGAACACACACCTTCTTCTTCTTTTTGGAACACACCTTCTAAGAGAAGGCACAAGGCTCAGAATTTGGAACTGGTCAGCCTGGAGTTGAGCCCAGGTCTCAGGCGCAGGCCTGCCCTCCCGGCCACAGCACACTGTCTTCCTGTGACTGAAGCCTCACCGGCCTGCTGGGGTGGGACAGGGCAGGTGCCAGGCCCCCACAAGGGCCCAAAGAAACCTTGTAACTCACCCAAGGTAGCCCACCTAGGCTGTCCCCCTGAGGACAGGCCCACCTCTGTCCCCACCTGTGGTCACACAGAGCCTCTGAGCTGCCTCATGTGGGAGTTAGCCAGCCTCAGAGAGGGGCAGGGGTGTAAAATTTCATCCAATGAAAGCATTTCCATGACTCAGAACATCTGAAAAAAGGGAACGGGCTTTTTCCCCTACCAATGCCTAGCACAGGGCTGGACACACAGTAGGTCCTCAAGGCCTACTTAGGTGGCAGTGGAAAGATTCACCTACACATTTAGGTCTCAGCAGAGCTCCATGATGGTGGTAGATAGGTTACCAAGGCCAGAGAGAAATGAGCAGCTCAAGAGTGATTGCTTGGTTCGTTCGTTCATTTATCCTCAATCAACGTTTATTGAGCAGCTATGGTGTGCTAGAACTGCTTCGATGAACAAAACAGACCAAAACCTCTGGTCCTGCGAACCAAGCTAGGGCAGACCTTGGCGTGGCATGGCGGGGGGGGGGGCAGTGGTCCAGCCAGCAGCACATTGCTTTCTACCCCCAGAGCCCCGGAGCACTGCACCTACGTTTTACAAACCACCTCTACCTACGTGTTCCTGGTGACAGGCCTTCATCCCCTAGCCCAACTCCATCCCCTCCTGGTTCCTAGGACAGTGTCTGCCCTGAACATAACCCAAGGTTAGGGGTGTGGAGGGCTTATATCCTTGGGTGACCTAATGTGCCATTTGCCCACTCTGCCCAAGACCCACCACTTCTGCCCCTCTCAGCTCTCCCTGGATCCGCTGGGTCCCGAATGGGACTGCCCCCTGGGCTCCAAGGACCTGGAGGAAGAGGAGGGCCCATGGGGAGGAGGCTCTGGCCTGCCGCCCCCAGACTGCTTCCCCGGCTCCTGGCGCCACGACGTGGGCCTGGACTGCAAGGGCTCCCTCGAGGGGGCGGAGGCCCGGGCCTGGACCGTCTACTACTATAGCCTCCTGCAGAGCTGTCTGCAGCAAGCTGGCCTTCCGGAGACCCAGGACCGCAGCCAGGTGCCCCGCACAGGTGCCCAAGGGCTCCAGGGAGGGGGGAGTCCCTGGGGGGGAGGGGGCGCCCTCAGCCCAGCCTGCTTCCCATCCCTGTCAAGGTCAGCCCCTTCCCCCAGGCTCTGGCTGGATCTGGAGCCAGGGAGGTCAGGCCAGTCAACCTCCGGCAGACAAGCATTGTTTCAAAGGGCATCTGGCACCAGTAAAGTCAGAGATCAAGGCTTCCCTCCTGTCCCCAGAAGACCCAGCCGTGGGATTTGTCATCCACGTTCTGTGGAGCCAGAGCTTCTACAGACGTGTCTTGGGAGCTGCTGTGGAAGCAGCTAACAGTTGGGACCCAAAACTCCTTCCCTGTTTTATCTGTTTTATTTTTATTTATTAATTTTTACATCTGTTTTAAAGATTAGGTGGCCACAAAGGTTTTGTGTGGACAGAGGGTTCACAGCCAGAATACATGAAAATCACAGACTGGGAAACTGAGGCCCAGGGACTCCTCCCCGCCCCCCACCACACTGCATGGGGGCCACGGGTCACAGAGACAGTCAGTGTCAAAGCCCAGGCTAGAACCCAGCTCTCCAGTCACTCAGCCTCCAGTACCTTCCAGGCTAGCTGCAGAGAGGAGGGAGCCAGCCTCACCGGGTGGGATGGGCAGGCAAGCTTCCCTTTCCCTTTCCGGGCGTCTTCTCTGTCCTCTCTACCCTTCTCAGCCCACACTGGCAAGGACCTTGGGGGCCCCCGGGGAGGGGGGGAGGGCGGGGCTATGGGGCAGGGAAGGGTAGGCAGGAAGATAGCAGGGGAAGCCCCTGTTGAGCTTGGCAATGTTCTCCCCACCCCACCCCACCCCCAGGCTGCCCTGGTGCGGAGGTGACCTTATGCGTTCTGGGATCCCCCAGCACCTTTCTGTCTGTGCTGCTGGAGGGTGGGGTCCAGAGCCCGGGTGAGTATGTACCCAAGCTCCCCCGCCTGCTCCTACAGAAAGGGCAGCCCTGCTCTGGCCCGGCCACATCCCGAAATACCCACTGACTCTGGCAAGTGCCTGCATTCTGCCGGGCCGGCTGCCATGCTCTGAGTGGGGGTGGGTTCTGGGAGCAGCTGCCCCCACTACCCAGGGCCCCGGGCTGGAGGCGAAGGACATGGGGGCATTAAGCCTTCCCTGGCCTTCCCTGGCCAGCAACCCTCCTCCCTCTGCCCATAGGAAACATGCTCCTCTGCCTGTCCCCTACTTGGCTGACAAAGGTGCCAGCACCTGGGCAGCCGGGCGAGGCGGTCCTGCTGGTCTCCAAGGCTGTGAGCTTCCACCCAGGGGGCCTGACATTCCTAGATGACTTTGTCCCCCCACGCCGAGCCACCTACTTCCTGGCGGGCCTGGGGCTGGGACCTGGCCGGGGTCGAGAGGCAGCTGAACTTGCCCGTGACCTGACCTGCCCCACCGGAGCCTCGGCTGAGCTGGCCCGGCTGCTGGAGGACAGGCTGCTGACAAGACGACTGCTGGCTCAGCACGGTGGTGCGGCTGTGCCGGCTACCCTGGCTTTCACCTATAAGCCCCCGGCACTGCTGCGGGGAGGGGAGGCCAGCCCGGGCCTACGGCTGGTAGAGCTGAGTGGCAAAGAGGACCAGCAGACACTGGTGAAGGAGGAAGTAGGGGCCTTTCTGCACTCCGGGGCCCTGGCTGATGCCCTGCAGGTAACAGGCTCCTGCCTCCCGAGGTCTGTGCAGATGCCAGCAGGATGGGACCCATGGATGGTTACCTAGTCCTGCTGGGAAGTTGTCCCCAACTTGGAGCCCTCCTGCTGGCGTCTCTCTCTGTGGCAATCCCCTCCCTTCTTACCTCAGTTTACACATCAGATCCTACGGTACCGCACAGGTCCATGGGGTGGTAAGGAGACCCCCTTCCCCTCCCTGTTGCAGGTGGCCGTGAAGCTCAGTGGCTGGCGCTGGCGGGGGCGGCAGGCAATGCGTGTGTACCCTCGAGTGGAGCTGGGCACAGTGGTGGACACGGTGCTGGCGCTGCTGGAGAAACTGGAGGAGGAGGAGAGTGTCCTGGTGGAGGCTGTGTGCCCACCTGCCCGGCTACCCTTCCCAGGTGAGAGCCACCTGCGCCAGCCAGGAGTGGGAGCTTGGCTGGCCCTCCTGGCTGCTCTGTGCCGGGCTCAGGCCTCGCTGTCCTTCCCCAGGCAGTGCCCCACCTGGCCCCGAGCTGGCTGTGCGGATCTGTGCCGTGGTATGTCGGACACAGGGTGACAGGCCCCTGCTGAGCAAGGTGAGCGTGGCCCAGGTTTAGGTCCCGACCCTGCCGCCACACCCCAGCCCAGCCCTAATGAGCTGCTGAGGGCCCCGGGCAGAGAGAAGACATAATCTTTGGGGGGAATCCTGGTGGCCTCTAGGAGGACTCCTGGGTCTGACGCTTTTTCCCCTCCCTTTCCACCCTTCCTGCCTCAGGAGCTCTGCCTGGTACGGGGTATACCAGGGCCCAGGGCTGAATCCTCTTACCCACAGAAGAGGCTGACCCAGGGTCTCTGAACTGCCAGTGTCTGGAGTCCTTTAGGAGGGGCCCCCAAGCCAGGGAACTCAAGGCAGCTTGAGGACCCTCCCGGGAACACAGCTCTGAGCCAACCTGAGGGAGAGTCTGTCAACCCTGCCCTCATGGAGGTCTAGGGTGGGGCACACCAGGGTGGCACAGGCCCCCAGGCCTGCAGGAGCTAGGAGCAAGCGTGCTTGGCGCCTTCAAGGAGCAGAGACCCCGGCTGGGCCTGGAAGCCTGGGTAGAATCCCCTTAGGGTCTAAAGGACCAGAGGGGCAGTGGCGGGGGAAAGTGGTTTGTGCAGCGGAAGCCACAGAGGAGGACTGGGCTGCTTGAATGTCCAGTGAGAGGTCTGGCCTGGACCTCGGCACCAGGGTAGGTGTTCAGGGCATGGGTGTGGGGGGTGGCATTAGTCCTGGGACGGCTCCTCCTGGGCCAACACCCTCAGCCACACCCTGCCCAGGTGGTGTGCAGCGTGGGCCGTGAGGACCGGCCTCTGCGGCACCAGAGCTCCTTGCCACAGACGCTGGAGGTGGCACTGGCCCGGTGCGGCCTGGGTGAGACGGGACAGGTGGCGGTCGTGCGACGGCGCGTCAAGGCGGCGGCCGAGGCCGCGCTGGCCGCCGTGCTGGCCCTGGAGGCCGGCCTGAGCGCTGAGCAGCGCGGCGGGCGCCGGGCCCGCACGGACTTCCTCGGTGAGTGCGGACGGCCCCGGGCGGGGGCCGGGGGCCGGGGGCGAGGCCGGGGGGCAGCCGGCGCTGAGCCCGCGCCCCCCCCCCCGCCCGGGCCAGGCGTGGACTTCGCGCTGACGGTGGAAGGCCGCGCGCTGACCCCCGTGGCTCTGGAGCTGAACAGCGGCCTGTGTCTGGAGGCGTGCGGCGCGCTCGAGGGGCTGTGGGCCGCGCAGCGCCCGCGGTCGGCGGCCGAGGACGCGGCGGCCGCGCCGCTCGTGGAGACCATGCTGCGGCGGTCCGCGCACTGCCTCATGGAGGGCAAGCAGCTGCTGCTGATCGGCGCCGGCGGCGTCAGCAAGAAGTTCGTATGGGAGGCGGCGCGCGACTACGGGCTTAAGGTAGGCGGGGCGCGGGGCGGGGCCGGTCCGAAGTCCCGGCCCCAGTGGTGGAGGCGGCACCCTGGGCGCCCGGGCGCGGAGGGCTTCAGGGCGGGGCCAGCACCGCTGGGGGCGGAGCCTGCGCTGGGCGTGCCCGCTGGGGGCTCCAGAGCCCAGGAGTAGGGGTGGGGCCCGCTGCCCCGTCCAGGTTAGAAATTTAAACTTTTTTTATTTACTTATTTGAGAGAGAGCGAGAGTGAGAGAGCACAAGCGGGGGTGGGGAGGCGGCAGCAGAGGGAAAGGGAGAAGCAGGTTTCCTGCTGAGCAAGGAGCCCAGTACGGGACTGGATTCCGGGACCCCGAGATCATGACCTGAGCAGAAGGCAGAGGCTTGACTGACTGAGCCACCCAGGCGCCCCAGAAGTCTAGACTCTTTTTGGCCTCTGGCCGAATTCTGTTTCAGCGAGCCCCCTCCAGGGCAAAAAGAGCCCACTGCAGAGGGGCTGGAGGGGCGGGGGCGTCATTCAGGGTTAGTACCCGAACCGGGACCTTGAATGCCAGGGGAAGGAGCCTGGCCCTAACCTGCAGGAAGGGCAGGCCCTTCGAGGTTGAATTCCTGAGGGCACGAGTAGGGTGCTGAAGAGCAGCTTACAGGTCCCGAATCAAGTTCACAGCAGTGGCCTCGCATTAAAGAATCTGGAGCCATGCAGGCAGAGTAGGCATTCTTTTCTTTTTCAAGATTTTATTTATTTATTTGACAGAGTGGGAGAGGGAGAAGCAGGCTTCCGGCGGAGCAGGGAGCCCGATTCGGGGCTCAGTGCAGGGCTCCATCCCAGGACCCTGGGATCATGACCTGAGCCGAAGGCAGACGCTTAGCCACTGAGTCACCCAGCCTCCCCCAGAGTAGGCATTCTTATCCCCCATTGAACAGATAAGAAAACAGAGGTCAGGTTCTTCCTGGCTCTAACCTACCACAATGGCTCCTCTCCCCTCCTCCACAGTACCACACCCTCTTGGGAATCCGCCCCTCCAGCCATTCCTATGCCTCTTCACTCCCTGCCTTGCACATTGTGCTCTCCACTTGGAACGTCTTTCTACTCCTCATGCTGCCAAGTGTTACAGTGCTCACAGCCACGCTCCCCTGTCTCTTCAGGAGCAGCCTCTGCCCTGGGAACCAGCTGCTTTGTGTCTGTGTTCCCCCAGCGGGCAGTGAGATTTGGGGCGCAGGGCCCCACTGATTCCTCTGTGGGCACCCCTGGGGTCAGAACTCTTTGGGTGAATGATGACCAAGAGCATGATGCCCAAGGACACCAGGCCACCTGTCCCTACCCCCAAGCTGGTAGTTCCACTACAGCTGTGGTCAGAGTGAGAATGAGCCCACGTCAGAGTGGGTTCATTCTCACTCTGGGTGGTTCATTCTCTCTTTGCTCCAGCCCCTCCTGCCCGGATCACACCCTTTCCCTTGTGCCGCCATCTTTCCTCTGGCTTTTACTCAGCTCCCGGCCTAAGCATTGCCTCCTTTCGGCTGCCTTCCCTCCCCTCCAGGCGGGGTTAGATGTGCCAACTCTGCACCTTCCATGTAGTCAATCATCAACAAATATTTTTTTGAGCCCCTAGAACTGGTGAGTCGGTCCCTCCTGAGGGCCAAAACCATGTTCTAGGCCCCATCCAATCTCCCCAGTGTCCAGCACAGGCTAAACTGGGTGTGTTGTGCTCTGGTGCTTTCTGCAGCTGCACCTGGTGGAGTCGGACCCCAACCACTTTGCGTCCCAACTGGTGCAGACTTTCATCCACTTTGATGTGACAGAGCACCGGCGGGATGAAGAGAATGCACGGCTGCTGGCAGAACTGGTGCGGGCCCGTGGCCTGCAGCTGGATGGCTGCTTCTCCTACTGGGATGACTGCCTAGTGCTCACGGCCTTGCTCTGCCGGGAGCTGGGGCTGCCCTGCAGCCCCCCAGCTGCCATGCGCTTGGCCAAGCAGAAGAGCTGCACCCAGCTGCACCTGTTGCGCTGCCATGGCCCACCCTGGCCTGCGCCCTCCCTCCACGCTGTGCCCTGCTGCCCGCTGGAGACTGAGGCTGATGTGGAGAAGGCCGTCCACCAGGTGCCCCTGCCAGGTGTCATGAAGCTGGAGTTCGGGGCAGGCGCAGTGGGTGTGCGGCTGGTGGAGGACGCGCCACAGTGCCACGAACACTTTTCCCGGATCGCCCGCGACCTGCAGGGGGAGGCCGACCACCCCGGCATTGGGCTGGGCTGGGGCCACGCCATGCTGCTGATGGAGTTCATTGAGGGCACCGAGCACGATGTGGACCTGGTGTTGTTTGGTGGGCGACTGCTGGCCGCCTTCGTGAGCGACAACGGCCCCACGAGGCTGCCCGGCTTCACGGAGACGGCAGCCTGCATGCCCACCGGGCTGGCACCTGAGCAGGAGGCCCAGCTGGTGCAGGCAGCCTTCCGCTGTTGCCTGGGCTGTGGGCTGCTGGACGGGGTGTTCAACGTGGAGCTCAAGCTGACCGGGGCTGGGCCGAAGCTCATCGAGATCAACCCTCGCATGGGCGGCTTCTACCTGAGAGACTGGATCCTGGAACTCTACGGTGTGGACCTGCTGCTGACAGCGGCTATGGTGGCCTGCGGCCTGCGGCCTGCCCTGCCCGCCCGCCCTCGTGCCCGTGGCCACCTGGTGGGGGTCATGTGCCTGGTGTCCCAGCACTTGCAGGTGCTGAGTTCCACCGCCAGCCGTGAGACCCTTCAGGCTCTTCATGACCAGGGCCTGCTGCGCCTCAATTGGCTGGAGGAGGTCCTGGTGCCGGGCGAATACGAGGAGCCCTACTGCAGCGTGGCCTGTGCTGGGTCCAGCCTGGCTGAGGCTCGCCTCCGCCTGCTGGGCCTCTGCCAGGGTCTGGGCATCGATGGGCCCCACTACCCTGTTGCCCACTTCCTGTCCCACTTCAAATAGTGCCTCTCTTCCTGGACCCCTGCCCCAACCCTGGCCTGGCCCCCCCCAAGGCCTCAGGTCTGTTCCAGAATAACAGGGCCATTTGACACGAAGGCCTCCTGAGCTTGAGGACCACAAAAAAAGTATCTGGGGCGGGGGGGCTACTGGCCCCTCTTGCTGTCAGTCCGGCACTAAAGGCCCCAGTCCTGCCCCACGAGTCTAGCCATGGAGAAACAGCAACAGCTGCGTGCATACACGCAAGCACACGTACATGCACGCGGGCGCACACACACACACTGCAGGGAGGCGGGAGTGGGCCCAAACTTAGCCCCTCCTTGTCATCCCTCCAGGTCTGTCTCTGCTCCTGCAGCCTACAGGAAGAGAGAAGCTGGCTGGCCCCTGGCCTTGGACAAATCCCTGAAAAAGCCTGAGACGAAACGCCCTGTCTTCTTACTCTTAACCCTCATTTAGCAAATTCCAGGATATTTCTAGAGTCCGCTGACAACTTTTGGCAGTGCCCTGCTTGCCTCATTTGGCCTGAGCAGTAGAAGCAGGTGCCCTGGGCTCAGCAGGAACCATCTCCTCTCCAGGCAGACACTATTGCCCCATTCTACAGATGAGGAAAACAGGCTCAGAGAGGAACAACCATAACCTCAAGGTCACACCACAGTAGCTGGGGGGGGGGGGTCAAGGGACGAGATACAGGGTCCAGGTTTCCACTTTTACTAAGTCTTACGTGCCCGCTCTAAACCGCACTCACCTCCCTGCCATCATTCATATGTGGCCTTAAGACGAGTGAACGCCCCCTCCCATGCAGCACACATCTTCTCCACCAAACTTTGGTGGTTTGGCCTCTGGCATAACTAACCGGCATTGGCAGAGGAGAGTCTACACTCCCTTCCCGATTCAGGGGAGTCTGCTTCGATAACTCTGCCCCCTGTGCAGCGCAGGAGCTGGGGCTCGCTCCACAAGCATCCCTCTCCAAATAAAGGCTTATGAACTAATGAAAGGTCTGGCACCTGGTTCATGTGACTTGGACAATACCCCTCGGGCTCAGCTAGATGGGAGTTGGGGATGGGAGGAAGGAGAGGTGGCTATAGGGGATACCTGTAGCATCTGGAGCTAAGGATAAAACACCCTACTGGCGAGGCCTCTGTGTTCGCCGTGAGCAGGGGCCTGCCATGGTCACTCACAACGGGACCCAAACCTGAGGGTCTCTGGAGGGTGGAATTGCAACCAGAGGGCCACATCCAACTAAACAACCTTCTTCCAGCCTGGAGACTCCTGAGTTCTGTCCAGCTGAGTTCATATTTAGCCTCCCCATCCAACTGGAATGCACATCCAGACAGCCTCCAACAGTCAGAACTCATCCAAGACCTAGTGTGGCCCAAATTCACCCCTACAGAGCTCCATGCAACGAGAATCCATGCCCAAATCTAAAGTCACAGACCAGGTTTTGTGTATTCATTCACTCATTATTTTAACGAAGTTTTATTACGTGCCTATTCTGTCCCAGATAGCAAAATTACTAAATGTACTTAAATTGGCAACGAAGCAAACTCCAGCACAAACCCGTATTTACGGGTGTATCAATGAGACCCAAACCCTTTCTGGCAAGAACCTGGCAAAAAAGCCCAGCCTGACCTGAGCGTGGGGCAGTCACCCAGTAAATGTTCTGATGTGCAGGGTCCTTGAGGCAGGTGTCACGTTAGGGAGACTGTGATGCAGCAGCCTCTCGGGGGAGAACAGAGAAACGCGACTTGCCTTTCGCCGCCCAGCCACCCAGCCAGCGCACGGCTTAAACCGGGCTGGGGATTAAATTTACACCAATACCTGCATGTGCTTCTGCCCCATCCAAACTCAAACTCTTCCCAGAACCAAGATGAGCGCCTTCTAGGCTTCCCCTGTCCGGTGCCACCCCCGGGGAGCAGTGCTGCGAACCCTGAGGGTTCCGTCAAAGAGTGTTAGACGGGCTTCGGCACCCCGGCACTCTGGAACTACAGTTCCCGAGAGGCCTTGCGCCGGGCGCCATCTTTTCGCCCCGCCAGACTAAGTGGCCGGCTGGAGGGAGGCGGGGGGAGCCTCATGCGTCATCGGCGCGCGCGGCCGCGGTCGCGGAGTGACCACGTACAACCCCCCCGCCCCGCCCCCCGGGCTGTCAGTCTGAGCGCGGCCAAGCACGGGCCGAGGGGCCCGCCGGGCCGGCGCCGCTATGGCGGCCGTGTTTGACCTGGACCTGGAGACGGAGGAAGGCAGCGAGGGCGAGCCAGAGTTGAGCCCCTCGGTGAGTGGTCCTCCCGGGCGCGGCTCGATCCCGGAGCCGATCCCATCCTCCAGGCGGTGGAATCGCCCTGGCTTCCCCCAGCCAGAGCGTCTCTGAGCCCGGCCCCTATTAAGCTCTGACCCACCCTCACTCACCCCGACCTGTCTTTCAGGCCCCAGCCCTTACCCTGGTTCTCCCTTTTCTGCCCTGGACCTCTCCTCCCCATTGCTGGCCCATCGCCCGCCAGCTCCATCCCTGACCCCCTCCTCTCCTGGGCCAAGTAGTCCGGCTTGAGGGGGAGGGATCCCCGGTGCCTTCCTTGGCTCTTACCCCTCGGTTTCTCGCAGGACGTGTGTCCCCTTGCCGAGTCGAGGGCGGCTGGCCTGGAGTGAGTGAGGGTTGTGTTGGGGGAGGGAGGGTGTGGGCTGGGGAGGGAGACATGGGGAGTACCGGAGCCTTGCCCCCATTAACTTCTTGTGTTCATAGGCCTGTGGGACACTGTGAGGAGGTGGAGCTGACTGAGACCAGTGTGAATTTGGGCCCTGAGCGCATCGGACCCCACTGCTTTGAGCTGCTGCGTGTGCTGGGCAAGGGGGGCTATGGCAAGGTATTGGCCTTCCTTCCTCACTGGTCTCCCTGCCTCAGTCTTGCAGCAGCAAAGGGTCTCAAAACAAATTAAACTTGTAAATCGGTCGAGCCTCCATAGAACGCTGAGGTAAAAGCATAAAGCAGGGAAAAGGCCGATCCTCTCGGAATCAGACTTGACATCTTTACTGCCCCACCCTTGGGTGGGCCCAGGCCTCTTGGTCTCAATGCCAGAGCTTCAGGGTGGAGCTTTTTTGAAGATAGGATGTGGAGAGGGAGGTTGATCCTGTCTCCCCTGCCCTACAGGTGTTCCAAGTGCGAAAGGTTCAGGGCACCAACTTGGGCAAAATATATGCCATGAAAGTCCTGAGGAAGGTGAGTCATTTGTTCAGCCAACAAATCCTTGCTCGGTGGCTGCCGTCCTCCATGCACGACTCCAGGCTTCCGGAAGACAGTAGTGAACATGATGGAGGAGATGGCCCCTGTCTTGGGCATTGGCTGGTTTAATGTCAGTTGTGGTTGTGTTGTTTTGCAGTAATTCCCAACCGTGGGCAATACTGCCTCTACAGTTTTGAGTCACAACTAAATAGGGGTGCTACTGGCATCCAGTGGGTAGAGGCCGGGGCTGCTGCTAAACATCCTACGAGGTACAAGACAGCACCCACAGCAAAGGATTATCTGCCTGAAATGTCATTAGTGACAAAGCGGAGAGGTACCTCTAGAGGATAAATCAGTCCTTGAGAAGGATGATCACTGGTAGCGGAATTACGGAGAAATAGAATGGAGCGATAAAGGGTGGCAGGAGGGTAACGGCTGGAGGGACTAAAGGTGCCCGAGGTGCCCACCTTCTGATTGATCCCGCCTCTTCAGGCCAAAATTGTGCGCAACGCCAAGGACACAGCACACACGCGGGCTGAACGGAACATTCTAGAGTCAGTGAAGCACCCCTTCATTGTGGAACTGGCCTATGCCTTCCAGACTGGTGGCAAACTCTACCTCATCCTCGAGTGTCTCAGTGGTATGAGCAGGGGCCCAGCCAGGGAACCAGGGCCAGGGAACCAGCCAGGAAGCACTGGGAGCTCTGGGGGAAGCCTGGAGAGATGTGTGTAGAATGGCTAGGGGGCCCCCACACCCATCCATTTGTGTGTCCATCCGTCCCATCATTCATTCATTCAGCAAACGTCTGTCCAGCACCTGTTGTGTCCCTCACCTGTACTGGGGGTGGACGGGAACGCTCGGAGTTTGTGCAGAAATCCAGTGGCTTGTTTTGTCCATTTCCACTACCCCTTCATGGCCTGTTCCTCTCTCCTGTGTGCCCTCTGTCCAGTTGGGTCCCAGATCCCGCTGGTTCATTCTCAGCAGTGTCCTTCATACTCTCCACTCTCCTGAGGGGATGGCAGGGGGTCACAGTTGTTCCTAACTGGGCCTGAGGCCTTCAGCTCACCCTCTTCCATGAACTCCCAGGGTCATCGTCTCAGCACGGAATTGTCCCCGACGCTCCTACTAACAATTACACGGCTCCTTGTAACTGCCCCGGTGAAGCCTGGCCTCCTTGGCCTGGTGCCCCCTGTTGGCCATGAAGCGGTTGGGGCCCACTTGCCGCCAGGTCCTGTCTGCACAGATGAGCCCTGTGAGCTCCAGTCCCCACATCCATCGCAGCACCCCCTCGATTCTCACTGTTACCATGGGCTGTGTCCCCTCACGTTAGGAGTCATTTGCCTCCTCTGTGATATTTTTTGCATTAAGCTCTTGGAGCTGTTGCCTCAGTCTGGCATATTAGAGCACCTGTGTGCATGTCTGTCTCCCCATTAGACTGAGCATCCTGAGGGCAATGGCTGGGTCTCCTCATCTCTGTGTCCCCAGCTTCACCCAGCACAGGGCCAGACACCCGAGTAGGCGTCGGTAGATGTTTGCTGAATTGAATTGAATCCCCACGGCAGCTGTGTGAGGCAGGTAGGGCCGGAATTATGAGTCCCACTCTCCCCAAGAAGAAACCGAGATTCAGAGAGCAAAGATGCTTGTTCCCAGCACACAGCTGCTGACGTGTTTGTGTCACAGGCGGTGAGCTCTTCACGCATCTGGAGCGAGAGGGCATCTTCCTGGAAGACACGGCCTGGTAGGTGTTCCTTCCTGCCTCTCTGGAGGGGCTCCAGGGATGCTCTTCCCTCAGAGCCCAGCCCCCCCGCCTAACCTTGCCTTCACCCTGTCCTGTCTCTGCAGTTTCTACCTGGCAGAGATCACACTGGCCCTGGGCCATCTCCACTCCCAAGGCATCATCTACCGGGACCTCAAACCTGAGAACATCATGCTCAACAGCCAGGGTGCGTGTGTGTGCACCGCCCCCCGCCACCCCGCTGCCGTGTAGCTGCATATGTTGGGTTGGAATCTGCAGGGAGGGCTGAGGGGCACCACCCGGTAGGCCAGGGCCCTGACCACCGCCTCCAAAATCTTCCTCAGGCCACATCAAACTGACAGACTTTGGACTCTGCAAGGAGTCGATCCATGAGGGCGCCGTCACCCATACTTTCTGTGGCACCATTGAGTACATGTAAGCGGCAGCTGGCTGGGACCAGGGGTCGGGAGGACTGCCGGGAAGGGCCCTGCCTGGCTGATGGTTTCCCCTGGCCCCCAGGGCCCCTGAGATTCTGGTACGCAGTGGCCACAACCGGGCGGTGGACTGGTGGAGCCTGGGGGCCCTGATGTATGACATGCTCACTGGATCGGCAAGTCCAGCCTCCTTGGGAGGAGGGGCGGTGGGGAGGGGGGTGGGACGGGGGTCCTCATCTCGGGCCAGGGCCAGGGCCTGGGGGGAGGCCCGCAAGTCTCCTCTCACCCTCTGCCTTCTCCAGCCACCCTTCACTGCAGAGAACCGGAAGAAAACCATGGACAAGATCATCAAAGGGAAGCTGACGCTGCCCCCCTACCTCACCCCGGATGCCCGGGACCTTGTCAAAAAGGTGGGCTCCTCCGGTCCCTGGCCCAGCCCTCAGCGTCTTCTAGGCCCTGCATGGAATCCTGAGTTTCTCTGGGCTGTGGGACACCCCTGCCTGTGTAGTATGCCTTTGGGGATGAAAGAGCATTGGCTTTGGGGTCCAAGACACTGAGCTTGCGCCTTCACTCTGTTGCAGACCAGCTGATGACCCTGCTGCACACACCCCTAGTCCCAAGTCTTAATCAGCGGAACATTCACGATGAGCTAGCTGCTCTCCCATCGAGAAGGCATTTGCTGGGGGTAAAAGTGGGAGGCTAGGCTTGGAGATTGGATCCCACTGCAGTGCCCTAGTGCCCCCAGTGACCGGGTGCCTTTGCGAAGGCTTCATGCAGAAGGGCCCATTAGACCAAACCTTGGAAGGCCTAAGGTTGTCTGTAGGTGGAGACGACACTCCTGAGGCCTTCTCCCCACCACACACACACACACACACACACACACACACACACACACACTCACCTTTCCCTGCCCAGGCCAGTCCGCAGGAACATGGAGGAACACACAGTCAGTGCCTCTCCCCCAGACAGACCCTCACCCTCTGCCCTTGTCTGCAGTTTCTGAAGCGGAATCCCAGCCAACGGATCGGGGGTGGCCTTGGGGATGCTGCTGATGTGCAGGTGGGTCTGGGACCACCAGGAGGGGGCAGGGCTGAGCCCCCAGGGTACCAGGGGGGCAGGCAAGGCCTTAGGCGAGAGGGAGTTACTGAGGGAGTCAAGGAGGGTGAAATGATGAGATGTTTGGGGGCCCTCTACCCACAGAGGCACCCCTTCTTCCGGCACATTATTTGGGACGACCTCCTGGCTCGCCGCATCGACCCCCCTTTCAGGCCCTCTCTGGTAAGCGGAGGACCCATTGGTCTGGGGGCAGGTGGAGGACCCGTCCTGGATGCCCCCTGACCCCTCCTCCCCGCTCGGGTCTACCCACAGCAGTCAGAGGAGGATGTGAGCCAGTTTGACACCCACTTCACGCGGCAGACGCCAGTGGACAGTCCCGATGATACGGCCCTCAGTGAGAGCGCCAACCAGGCCTTCCTGGTGAGGTCCTGGGTGGCCTGAGGGTTATGGGGGCCCGGACAGGAATTGTGGCTAAGGAGTGGTGGACACTGAGTGTCGTCCGGCCCTGCTTTCGCTCCCCCCGACCCTCACAGGGCTTCACATATGTGGCACCCTCCGTCCTGGACAGCATCAAGGAGGGCTTCTCCTTCCAGCCCAAGCTGCGCTCCCCCAGGCGCCTCAACAGCAGTCCCCGGACCCCGGTCAGGTACCACAGGACAGAGGGGAGTGTGTAGCTGAGGCAGGAGGCCGGTTCTAGCTTTGGCTCTGCCAATCCACCCCAGGGCTGCCTCTCGGTGCTAGTCTGTTTTCTCATCCCTGGGACCCCTTGTGGTGGGGGCTGCCTGGCTGGGCACTTGACCTCACAGCCTCTGTACCTGGGGGTGGGGGTGGGGGGGACATCGGCCCTCTGACCCGAGTGCCAGTACGTGCTGCCTCACCTTGGTTTCCCCTGCAGCCCCCTGAAGTTCTCGCCCTTCGAGGGATTCCGGCCCAGCTCTGGCCCACTGGAGCCCATGGAGCCCCCTCTACCTCCTCTCCTGCCGCCACCGCCACCACCCTCGAGCACTGCCCCCCTCCCCATCCGACCCCCCTCGGGGACCAAGAAGTCTAAGAGGGGCCGTGGGCGCCCAGGGCGCTAGGAGGATGGGCAGCCGTGAGGGCAAGTGGGGCCCTGGGCCAGTTCCAGGGACCTGGAGGTGTGTCTGGGGTACAGGAGTGAGTGTGTGTGAGAGCGGGTCTCGGTTGGGGTGGCTGTGCCCCTGAACCATGTTCGTGAAGGGCCACAGGCTCTGGCTGTCAGGGGAGTGGCCTCGCCACCCAGCTGGCCTGCAGTTGAGCTGTGCCCTTGGAGAATTAAAATACTGAATCATGGCACTGACCTGGCTCTTCCCTTGGACCTCTGGGGGGAGGGGGGCAGGATTGGGTGGGGCTGTGCCAGGAGGAGCCCCTGCTCCGAGATGGGAAGGGTCACTACAGGACCACAGAGCCACAGGGCTGGAGGGGTTTTATTTCAGATGACCCCCGTGCCCCTAGGGGTGGGCGGCCTTCCTGGTGGGGACAGGGATGCGCGGCTTTGGGGACAGAACCGGTGGGGGAGCGATCGTCTGAGACGCTTACATTGGGGAGGGGGGTGGCGGTGTGGGTGACGCTGGGTCCAGGGCAGCTCGGGACACACAGGCACAGTGACAGGGATGGGACACCACGCTGGCGCTTACAGTGCGGTGACGTGGAGGCCCCGGCCCCCAGAGGCTTCGGCGCTGTCCCAGGCCGCGCTGCCAGCAAAGGCGTGCAGGTCGCTCAGCAGGGCCTCGGCGCTGCCCCCCGAGCCCGCCGGCCCCTGGCAGCTGAGGCCCAGGCCCCCGCCGGTGTTACTGTCATGCGCGTCCTCAGCCGGCTCTGGGAGCTGCTGGGGGCCGGGCCCCAGTCCGCCTCGCCGCTCCTCTTCCTGGGACTCTCTCCCCCCTGGGCCGCCCGCCAGCTGGTAGTCCTCCTCTGCGTCCTGCTCGTCCTGCTGCTCATCTGGGGCCTCGGCGCACGTCTCCGGCTCGGCCCGGGCCCGGAGCCAGCGGCCCGGGGGGCTGGCCCAGAGGAGGCGGCGGGTGCGGCCCCACAGCGCGGCGCCCAGGCGGGCCGGGTGGTAGTAGCCCCCCGAGTCCCGGCTGAGGCGGCGCCAGGCCAGTGCCAGGCCGGCGACCAGCAGCAGCAGCAGCAGCAGCAGCACGGCCACGGCCACGGTGCTGGAGCTCCCACTGTCCTCGGCGCCGCTGCCTGAGCCCAGGACCCCTGGCAGGCCCAGCAGCGTCCCGAGCCCTAGGGCACAGGGCAGGTCCTGCGGGGAGACGGGCAGGGGGCAGTCAGGCCGGGTGACCGGCTCCTCAGCTGCCTCTTGGGCAAAATGGGCACCATCAAGCGGGAAAGCCCACGTCCTGCTGGGTCCGCAAGGCCCTGGTCCTTTGAGATGTGGCCCTGGACCCCCCTCCCGCCCCCGCCCGCGCCCTGCATGAGCCTGCGCCTGCCACGGACCTGTGTGCTGGCTGTTCCCTCTACACCCAGAATGCTCCATCCCCCTGAGAGCCGCACGGCTGCCGGCCCACTTTGGCCCAGACCGTCCCCGTGAGATTCTCTGTGAGGCCCAATCTGACCCGGGGTACCGCCCTGCCTCTCACCGCTGCAGCCGGCCCGGCCGGGCTCTACTTTTCTCTCCCTCGTACTCCTCACGCTGCCTGCCCTACCTGCCCCACCAGAGCCAACAGCAAGGAGACAGGGGTCTTCCTGGCTCAAGCGCTCATTTCTGGCACACACAGTAGGTGCCCAGTAAATACGGGTCAGACGTGTCAAGACTCTGACGGTGGGGTTTGGGGGTGGCGATGGGATGCGGAGGGAGGGAAGGAAGGAATCTGTGAGGCCGGTGTTGGGGTTGGCTCTTCCTGAGGCGTGGGAATGGAAGGGCCAACTCCGAGACAACTGTTTACCCTCCACTTGATCAGGGCTCAGGATGGACCCCTCTTCCTCTCCCACCCACAGGACTGCCCCAGCTGCAGCATTTCCGTTCAGCTCCCGTCCCCGGCGGTCTCAGGCTTGTAGGGCTTGGGGGCTGGGGGAGGCGGGTGTCGCTACCAGAGGAAGCCTGCGGTTGGAACGGGGCAGGTGGGAGGTGTTGGTGGGGGAGGGGTGCCGAGATTCAAGCAAGCCCCCCCTTCACCCGGGGCTCTGTTTGCCCAGGCTCCAGGGACGCAGGTAGGTTCTGTGCCCAGGTCCCAGCTCACCCAGCAGAACAGGCGAGAGGGTCTGTCAGAGGTTCCTGAAGGGGGGCCGGGCCTGGAGAGGGGTGCTGGGGGGGTACACCCTGAGTCCCGGGGAGGCCTACCTCTGAGGTGAGGTAAGAAGGCCCAGCTTCTGCCCCATGCTTGCCCTGGGTCTCCCTTCTCTGCCCTGGGCCAGCTGCTTCTGCTCCTGGGCCCCAATGTGGGGGTCCTCTGTTAGTGCCCAGGGCCCAGACATGCCGGCTCTGACCGCCTGTGGCCCCCACCGCAGGACCCAGTGGGCTCCTGTGCTCACCATCAGTCCGCCGGCCTCGGTGCTTGGGTGCCCGCCACCAGCTCTGGCTGTGTTGAGTGGAAGTGAGCTCTGGCGCGCTCAGCTGCAGCTAAGGGTTACTGGGCGCTTCCGCTTCCTGCTCACATACCCCACCCGGCCCTCCCTGCCATAGGGCCCTGCTTGGGGGCCGTGGGCCTCTCGGGGACCACCCTAACCCTTACACTGGGGGGCCTCACAGATCTCTCACCGGGTGAGGCCGGAGCTGTGAAGCCTGTGGCCAGGCCTCCAAAAGGAGGACCCAGGCACCAGCTCAAAGCAGAACGCAGTCCTGGGTGTCCACAGCTCTGTGGCCTCAGTTTCTCTAGCTGGCGGAATTCAGGGAAGTGATGACTTGGGGGGGGGATGCTCATGGCCCTCAGACCTTCCTCCCATCTGTGATCCCTGTGGGCCGGCCTCCTCTGCCCCCAGCATTCCAGACTGACTTTCCCAGCCCCACCTTTTGCAGAGGGCAAACCTGGCTTTTAGAAAGAGAATTTTATTTGGAATGAAAATATAGAGCTTGTCCCTCCCACTTCCTCCGGGAGGGAGCAGGGAGCTGGGGGGAGATGGTCCCTCAGAGTATAAGTTTGCCTTGATACAAAAATCCTCCACAGTAACAATGACAGCCAGGCGGTGGCTCCAGCCCGGGGCCCACGGGATGGGTCGGGATGGACTGCCCCTGAACCTGCCCCAGAGGCCCTGGGCAGGGGGCAGGAGACAGCCAGCTAGTGGTGTTGACTTGCCAGCGGAGGCTGGGTGAGGAGGGAGCTCGGAGGAGGAGGAAGTGAGGGGGAGCGGGATCCCCTGGGCCTGTGGTGCTATGCGTCCCCATTCTCCATGCGGCCGAGCTGCTCCTCCAGGCGGCCAATGCGCTCCCCCTGCTCCTTGACCAGCGCCCTCAGCGCCCGCAGCTCCTGCATCACCTCCTCCAGCTTCCCAGCCTCCTGCAGGGACGTGGGGGCAGCAGTCAGGGGGCGCGGAGCTGCAGCCCTCCCCCAATCCACCAGGCCAGGGCCTGAGCCCGACAGCCTGGCCGGAAAGGTTCAGGCACACGCACAGCAGACCGGGGTGCCGACTGGGGGAGCGGGGGCGGCGGCGGGGCGGGGGGGTGGGGGGCACGTACCGCGGCTCCGGCGAGGCTGCCGCTGGGGACAGTCGTGTGGATGGACGCAGCAGAGGTGGAGGCCCCGGGGCGGGCCGAGCTCGGGGCCGCGGCAGGCCGGCTATCGGATAGTACGTTGCGCCTGCTGACCTTCAGGTCCCGCTGCTTGCTGGGCACATAGGCCTCCCGCAGGGAGATGAGGATGGGGCTGGCATCCTGCCCACTCACCCACTCCTCTGCCTCCAGGGCCGCCTCGGGCCCGGCTGTGTCAGGGTACAGATCGTCCTGGAAGAGGTCCGACTGGGCAGGGGGTGGGGGAGGTCCGGATCAGCCGGGGGCCCAGTGGCAGGGTCCTCTTCTCTTGTCTGGACCCTGGGTAGCCACCTCCTCATCGTTCTCAGTCCCAGGCCTGAACCCTGTCAACCCATCCTCCAACGGCCTGGCCCCAAGTGGCCTCTCTAAGGCACAAATCTCTCGTTTCACTTCCTTTCGGGATATGGCCAACAACTCTTCTCAGAAGCCTTCCTAATGCTCCTAAGCACGGGTCAGCCACGTGGCTTCACGGGATTCTGGGAGCCCTGTCTGTGTCCCACGGACTGTGAACCCCGCCAGCCTCATTCATGGCTTTCCTCCCTGGGATGTGCCTGGCACGCCGAATGGCTCACTTGGCGAACGCTGGCTGGAGAAGAACGACGCTCGTCCAAGGTTCTTGGCTGGGCATCTGAGGCCAGGCCACACGTGGATCGATCCCCTCTTCGTGGGAGTTTCCACCACAGCCAGCCTCCCGTCCCTCTCTCTGTTCTTACCTCCGTGCCCTTTGCCTGGCCTTGACCCACCGTTGGCAGGCCCCACCCTAGCCATGCTGTTGGGTCCTGCCTTGCCTGCCACAGGGAGCCCTGCACAGCGGCCTGACATCTGTCTCCGGTGGCTCTTCCAGAGCAGGGCCACAGCTCCCCCCGTCTCACCCCGTCTCACCGCCTGCCTGGCACCGTCCAACGCCTGGCGGCAGGCCAAACCCATCCTGGGTGTCTCTCCAGCCCGCTGACCACATCCACACTCAACCACGTCCCGATCACAGGCCTCAGCCCGGTCACCCCCGCAGGGCCTGCCCGCTGAGGAAGGGAGTGGGTGGGCAGGGGACCAGTGGCCTCACCTTTCTTGGCACCGTCATGACGATAGGCTCACACTTGCGCTCATGCAGTTTGTAGAACCTGCGAAAGGGGAGGGGGGGGACCGTGGGTGGAACCTCCCCCTCACAGGCTCTCCTGGCTCCCTGCACTCTCCACTTCCAGGCCTCACCCCAGCCCCTCCACGGTCGGACCTTGACTCTGGCCCTGCTGCGGGCTGGTTCCCGCTCCTCAGCAGCCTCCGAAGGTCTGACCTCTCACCCTGCCCGGCCATGGCCGGGCCTCTGCTGCTGGGGCCAACTCATCCCTCTGCAGCCAGCCACCCGGGGGGCCCTTCTTACCGGGCGATCTCGCACTTGCTGACCTCCAAGCCCCTCTTAGGCATGCTGCCCATGCCCCTCTGGGGCTCCTTGCTGGTGAATGTGTTCAGGAAGTGGATATAGGGGGGCTCATCTGTGATCTCAAAGTACCGGATGCTGGAGTCACCCTGTGGGGTGGGAGGCGGCAGGGGTCAGCACTCAGGAACGCAGCCTTCTTCCCTGCCCCCATCCGCCCTGCCTGGCCCCACCTTGCCGCAGACGTAGACCACGCCGGTGTCGGGGTCGTAGAAGGGCAGCAGCGCCCCATTGCTCGAGTCCAGTTCCTGCAGGGCCATGGGTTCCTCAAGGTTTTCCTGGCACATGGGGTGGCGGACAGTGAGGCCAGGCCAGGACTTTCCTTCCCTCTCCTCACCGTCCCAGCCCATCAGGACTGGCCCCAGGCTGCCTCCCATGCCGGCTGGCACTGTCCCCACCAACGCCAGATGGGTTCTCTCCCCCGCTCCTGGATCCCCTCCACTCCCAGGATCCCACTTCCCTGGCCTACTCCAGGCCTTTAGTCCCTACCACGTGGGAGCAGGGGGGTGCCAGGCAGCACTACCCCGTCTCAAAGGGATCCACGGAGGTCACTATACAGAAGCCACAGGGCTGTGGGACAGAACACTCCAGGAGAAGGGCTGGGAGGCCTCCCGGGGGAGGGGGCCTCGGCACTGGGTCCCCAAAGGACAGCCAGATTGGAACAAGCAAGCAAAGGAGGGAAGGGCCTGTCAGTTGGCAAGAACAACATGGGCTAAGGCCTGGAGGAAGCTGGAGGCAGCAGGGGAGGCTGGAGAGCGAGGGGCAAAGGTTCCAGGTCCCGAGAGCCTCAGCTGCCAGGCTGAGAACCTGCGGCCCACAGGCCTCTCCGGGGTGACTCCTGCCCTCTGTGCCCACGGTGGGGTCCAAGGCTCAATCAAGCCTGTCCCGCCAGCTGGCCATGGCCACTCACCGGGTCCCACAGCGCCAGCTGCCGCTCGCTCATACGGCTGAAGCCTGTGGTGAACACCTTGCCATCGGCCAGGAAGATGGCCCGCATGGGACGGGCCCCTTCGTGAGCCTTCTCCCTCTCCTGTCCGGGGAATGGAGTGGTCAGGGCGGCACCCGACAGAGCCCCTCGGCCTGCCCGCTACCATCCTAGGCCCCCTGGGGGGCCACGTACCGCCACCAGGGCGCCCCGGCGGGGGTCGATGATGCGCACACTCTTGTCCTTGCAGGCAGAGCAGAAGAGGCTGCCGTTGCGGTTCCAGCTGACGTTGTAGATGAGGTCGGGGTGCAGGCTGTCCAGGCGGTACAGCTCCTCCGCCGTGCCCACGTTCCAGATGAGCACCACGTTGTCACAGCCTGCCGGGCAGGGGGCCGTTAGCCCACCCTCCAGGGGTCACACCCGGCCCCTTGACCTCTGTGGGCCTCGGCTTTACCACCTGTCCGATGGGCCTGGGAGAGGGTGTGGGTTCCGGGGCTGCACACAGAGGGGGGCGGGGGGTGGGGGGGGCGGGGGGGGGGCGGTGCGGACCTGCGCTGAGCAGCACGTTGCGGGCAGTCGGGTGCCAAGTGACAATGCCCACCCTCTTGGTGTGTCCCTCCAGTACCGCCACCGGCTCTGTCAGCGGGGACGTGAGTCCGTTCTCCGGGATCTGCCACACCTGCGGGAGGGGTGGGGATGCCAGGTGAGACCTCTGCGTGGCCCAGCTGCTGGCGGCCTGGAGCCACACCTGCGACCCGGGCGCAGCCACAGCCCCGAGCCTCACCATGACCGTACAGTCCTCCGAGCCGCTGGCGATGACTTCATCGTTGTGGGGACACCAATCGATGTCCAGGACGGGTCCCGTGTGTCCACACACCGTCGGGTAGGCCTTGTCGATGCGGCCCGTCTGCGGGCATGAGAGGGGCAGTCAAGGGTAAGCGGGAAACGTCTGTTGCCTCTGACCCTGACTCGCTGGCAATAAAAGAATCTCTATCTGTGCTAACGCCTTTCAGGCAATAAATCTGGGTTATGACACCTGCCCAGCAGTGTGGGGGTGGGCAAGATATGGAAGGTGAGGTGAGCAGAGAGGCCTCGTAGGTGTGGCCAAGCCTCCAGTCCTTTCCCCAGCCCTGAGGGGGCCCACCTTGCTTAAGGGGAGCACCAGGAAGGCACCCCCGCCGCTGGCCTCCACGATCACAGCCAGGAACTTGGGATTGACGGCACAGAAGGTGCTGTCCCAGGTGACACGGGACACTCGAATATCTTCATAGCACTGGTCATTCTTGACCGGCTGTCCAAACACGTGCCGGAATTTGCTCTGCCGAACCACTTTGCGGAAGGACATGTCTGCAGGGTGGAGAGACTTCGATCAGCCCTCGCCCATCTCAACAACCCCAACCCTCCCAGGGCTGCACGAAGGGCGATGGGGAGGCTGCAACCAGGTCATGGGAGCCCTCTTGGCTTTCAGCTTCCCGGGTTACAGAACGGGGTCCCAGCTGCAGTCCCTGGCTGCCACCCACCAAGGGGGCACCTGAGGTCG